TTCTACCCAATGCCTGGAAGAAAGCCCTTCAGTGAGCCCTGGTGTCCAAAGGAAGCTCGGCCCCCAGTTGCCCGGCCCCTGCCAGCAGAGTTGGGGAAACCCCGGAGGAAGCGGGCGCAGTCACTGAGCACTCAGGACTTTCTCCAGCTGTGTGTGTATACGACAGAGGAAATGACTCCAGGGTTCGGCGTGTCCCTGGCTGCAAGGCCGCAGCTGTGGCTCCCACTTAACTCACTGTCACGGTCAGAGCTCCGCGTGGCCGGGCTGTGCCACCTGGCCCTGGGCGAAATCCTCTCCTGCTGCTCTTCCATCCTCACCAGCAGAACCGGGTGCTCCCTTGCCCCAGGGTCTTTGACTGGCCTCCAGGGTCCAGTGAAGGGCCTGGTGGTGAGTGGGTGCCCAGTGTCTGGTGGAGGAGGGAGCAAATGAGTGGAACTGGGGAGTGGAAAGGCGGCTCCCATGGGCAGAGTTTCTGGTCTGGGGGTGGGTGTCTGTCCTAAGCAGTTTAGACACTGCTTGGAGCGTCTGGACCCCCTCTCAAAGTGTCTGGGTTCAAGTTCATGCTCTGCTTTCAGCTGCAGCTTCCAGCTAATATGGACTCTGGGAGGTGGCAGGCGATGGTTCTAGTCCTTGGCTCCCTGCCACCCATGTGGGAGACCTGGGTGGGGTTCTGGGCCTCCTGGCTTCAGCTCAGCCCAGTCCTCATTACCACGGCATTAATATATATTAATATATAATATATAAGTATATACTGTATATATTTATATATAAACATGTGAATATATAAATTTATATATATACATATAAATAGATTTATGTGTTTAAAGGGAGGGCTGCTGGTCTCACCAGGCCACAGGCTTCTGTGTGGCTCCTTTGTACCCCTGACAGTTCCAATTCTGGAGTTCAGGAGCGACAGGGCCCTGAGAATTGACCTCTACTCTCTGCTCCCTGCCTGGAGGAGGTGGGAGCCCTGTGCAAGGGGCAGAGCTCCAACTCCTTGGGACCTGCCATCCCTCTTATTGGCTATGGAGCAGGTCCTGGGCCAAGTTCATCCTGCTTTCTGTGGGATGCTGGTGGGGTGGGGGTGTTCTTCTCTTATCTACCCCTGGAATAGTATTACGTCATCCCACCCCATCCCTTCCCCTCCCTTCCTCCGCCCCGGAGGTCTGAGTTCATCTAAAAGCATCTTGCTTTGTCCAGACCCTGCCCCTACTCCTGGATGAATTCTATTTTATTATTATTTTTTTTTTGACAGGCAGAGTTAGACAGTGAGAGAGAGAGAGAGAAAGGTCTTCCTTCCATTGGTTCATCCCCCAAATGGCCACTTTGACCAGCGTGCTGCACCGATCCAAAGCCAGGAGCCAGGTGCTTCCCCCTGGTCTCCCATGCAGGTGCAGGGTCCAAGCACTTGGGCCACAGGGGCAGAATCCGGTGCCCTGACCGGGACTAGAATCCGGGGTGCCAGTGCCAAGGGGGAGGATTAGCCAAGTGAGCCGTGGCACGGCCATCCTGGATGAATTCTAAGCAAACCCTGGACATCAGCCCTAAACGATTCTGTTTATACCCAACACGAGGCTTCCAGGGCAGGTTCTGGCCTGGCAAATGGAGACAATGGTTGAGATGCCCACAGCCCACACCTGAGCCCCGGGGTTCAATCCCCACAGCTCTGGCTCCTGAGAGGCAGTGGCGATGGCTGAAGTTTGGGTCCCTGCCACCCACCTGGGAGACCTGGATTGCATTCCCAGTTCTTGGTTTTACCCCTGGCCCAGTCGGGCCATTTAGGGAGGGAGCCAGCAGATGGGAGAGATCTCTCCACCTTGTCTGCTTGTTTCTTATTCTGTCTCTGCCTTTCACATAAATTAAAAAGAAAGAACAAAAATGAGGCTTCTGGAAAACCTGAGGCGACAAATAGCCCTCAGCTTGAGCCACCCACATCCTCCTGGACCTGGGAGGTACAGCACTAGGGGTGGTCACAGTCTCTGCCCCGCTCCCGGGACACCTTCACGCCTGATGTCGCTGCTGCACAGGTGTCCTGTGGTCGCTTCCTTCCTGCCTGTGCTGGTAAGGGGCAGTCACTGGCTTGGGCGCTCCCAGCTGTTTATTTCCCTCCTGTCCCTATCTTGGAATGGAGAGAGGGAGGATAGGTGTGTCACACACACAGCCTCCCTTCATTGTCATGAGAAAGAGAGAGAGAGAGAGAGAGAGAGAGAGAGAGAGAGAGAGAGAGAGAGAGGTGATGGAGCAGGGGTCAGCATCATGGTGTAGTGGGTTAACCCACTGTCTGCAATGCTGGTATCCCATGTGAATGCTGGCATGAGTCCCAGATATTCCGCCTCCAATCCAGCTCCCTACTAATGCACCTGGGAAGGCAGCAGAGGATAGCCCATGTGCTTGGGTTCTTGTCATCTTCATGGGAAACCAGGATGGAGTTCTAGGTTCCTTACTTTAGCCTGGCTAAGCCCTGGCTGTTGTAGTCATCTGGGGAGTGAACCAGTGGATGGAAGATTCTCTCTCGCTCTCTCTCTCTCTGCCTTTCAAGTAGGAAAACAAACAAACAAACAAACAAACAGAAGCATGCACACTCACAAACACAAGACGTAAAACTTCATACCCTTTAGAATGGCTACTATCAAACAAACAAACAAAAGCCCAGAAGTCAGAAAGTGACAAGTATTGGTGAGTGTATGGAGAGACTGGAATTCCTTCTCTTTTGAAAACAACCATTGTCTGAGACAGGGACCTGGAGTGTCAGGCTCTTATCACTCACAGATTCACTATCTTTGATGATCTGCGCAGGATTCTGAGAGGGGGCTATCTTTCCCATGTCTGAGTGCTTAAGAGCGGCACGGCACGCCAACTCTAGCCAAAGGAAAGACACGCACAGCACTGCTGCCATAACAAAGCAAATTCCTAGCACCTCAGCTGTTGATGGCATTATGCAGGGGTTCCCTACGTTAGACAGACAGTGGTGTGTCAGATCGTAAGTATGTCCTGTGCTTAGTGGGGGACTTCCTTGATTCGTTAGGTCAAGGACGTATGCCCACACGGTGTCTCCAGAGCGTCACCTCTCTCGAGTGAGGGAAGATGACCTGGTTCCAAATTCTGGGATTATCAGTCCCTTATGTGAATTCGCCGGGCGAACCACAAGTAAAAGGAGGAGCCGAGAAGCGACATACGCTTCTGGGCGGTGTGTGCCTAACCTGGGGTCACTTAGACCAAGGACAAGGACAAGGAAAGGGGTGTAGGAGGGGGTTCTGTGCTCCCCCTCACAGAACCCAACAGCACACAAAACACCGAGGGGCCTTCTTGCCAAAATCCAGGGGGGACCTCGCCGAGTCCTGCACGCTGTCTCTTTCGCAGCCACGTTGGTGTGCCAGATGTTGATCCATCCACCGATGAGAATCATGGGGAGGAAGTTGGTCACGTTGCCCTTCACCACGTCAGTGAGCGTGGTGGGATCAGTCACAGGAGAAGGAGGTACCACTTTCCTCTTCGTTTTCTTGAAAAATCCATCCTCTGGGTTGTTGAAGTAATATTTCCAAGTCAAGAAAGACTGTTTGGGAATGTATTTTCCATTTTCCCTGAGGACTCGGCTCCGAATTAGGACTTGACTGCCGGACACTTGTTCCTGGGTGAGCGTCTTGTTGCTCTGCAGCAGGATGGACACGTAGTGGCGGATCACGCCCACGAAGAAAGTGATGATAACGATGGGCAGGACCACCCGAAGGCGGATATTAGAGCCGAGCGGCAGCTCCGGCCCTGCCATCCTACCTGGAAGCCGGCTCCCGGCCTTGGGTGGCCGGCTTGCTCTTCTCTGGGGTGCAAAGTTCCCTCTCTGGCTGCGGCCCATCAGGCACAGATCTCCGTGCCAGCATCGAGCCTCGCGCGCCGCCTCCTTCTCAGCGCCCGCCAGCAGCCGCTGCTTCTTCTCCTGCTTGGTCTCGGGCCGGTACTTGTGGGCCAGCTTCAGCAGCTGTGTGGCCGTCTGGCATTGTTGAGAAATCAACTGCAACAGCTGGGGAAGGGATGAGAAGCTAGCATGCCAAGATACTGAGTTCCACTTTGGAATGATGGGAAGTTTCTAGAAACGGGTGGGATGACGGGTGCACAGCATGTGAATGTACTCAATGCCTTGGGATGGTCATATGTGGGTAATGTCTATTTGATTGCAAGAAAAAATACTGATAACAGTAAAGGATTGGAGAAAGACAAATCAGGCAAGCATGATCATCTGACAGTAGACCCCAGAACAGAGAGACAGAGAAGGCGTGTTTATGCAAAATATGCACCCAGCACAAAATGTCAAGATACAGAAGCAGGGGCCGGCGCCATGGCTCACTTGGTTAATCCTCTGCCTGTGAAGCCAGCATCCTGTATGGGCGCTGGGTTCTAGTCCCGGTTGCTCCTCTTCTAATCCAGCTCTCTGCTGTGGCCTGAGAAGGCAGTGGAGGATGGCCCAAGTGCTTGGGCCCCTACACCCGCATGGGAGACCAGGAGGAAGCGTCTGGCTCCAGGCTTTTGGACCCAGCCATAGCAGCTATTTGGTGAGTGAACCAAGGAAAGGAAGACCTTTCTCTCGCTTTCTGCCTTTCTTCTCTCTATGTAACTCTGATTTTAAATAAATAAATAAAATCTTAAAAAAAAAAAAAAGATACAGAAGCAGCAACAACAAAATAGGGCTGGCATTGTGGCACAGTGGGTTAAGCTGCCACTTCCGATTCAGCTCCCTGCTAATGAGCCTGGGAAGGCAGCAGGGGATGACCCAAGTGCTTGGACCCCTGGCACCCACGTGGGAGAACCCGGATGGTGTTCCTGGCTCCTGGTTTCAACCTGGTCCATCCCTGGCTGCTTGTGGACGGCAGGTGGATGATTGCCATGTGTCTCTGTTTCTTCCTTTTTCTCTCTTCTGACATTCTGCCTGCTAAATAAATAACCAATGAATATTTTTTTTGAAAACACAAAATACAGAAGCACAGCTGATAAGTAGATAAATGTGTAAGTGTAGCTGGAGATTTCAATGCTTCTCTCAGTAATGAGCCAGGCAGAAAATCAGCTGAGGGAGAAAGAACATTTGAATCTCCCCAAATAAACCAAATACAAGCTGCTTTCTTTTTTAAAATTATGTATTTATTTGAGAGGCAGAGTTATAGAGAGGTAAAGGCAGAAGCAGAGAGTCTTCTATCCACTGGTTCACTCCCCAAATGACTGCAATGGCTGGAGCTGATCCAATCTGAAGCCAGGAGCCAGGTGCTTCTTCCTGGTCTCCCATGCAGGTGCAGGGCCCAGGCAATTGGGTCATCTTCTACTGCTTTCCCAGGCCATCAGCAGGGAGCTGGATTGGAAGTGGAGCAACAGGGACTCGAACTGTTGCCGATATGTGATGCCAGCACTGCAGGCAGCAGCTTAACCTTACGCACCACAGCACCGGCCCCTGGGCACAATTTAGCTGGAGATGCGACTAAGAAAAGCAGAGTGCCAGGTACTACAGGACTCAACTTCAAGTCTAAAAGAAGGGCATCACCTGGGTCACTGTTGTGAGACAGCCTGGGGACCTGGAGGGGACAGCTCTCTGCAGGGTGCTGGGTGGCCTGGGTGGCCCCTTCCTGCTCCCACCCTCTCTTCCCTTCCCTGCTAAGCACACCTCCGGCATAGCAGAAACCCGACCCATGGGAAGACAAGGGATAAGCATCACAGGGAAAAGGCCACGCATTTCCCAAATGAGCCTCCGTGCTGGTACGCCTCCATTCCCAGTTGCCGTGCGGTAATTCCAGCTTGGGGTCACTCAGAGTGGTCTTGAATAAGTACCCGGGAGCAGCAGCATTGTGGCTCAGTGGTTAAGATGCCATCCGCAACAGCAGCATCCAGTGTCAGAGCACTGGTTCGAGTCCCAGCTGCTCCGCTTCCAGTCCAGCTCCCTGCTAATGAGCCTGGGAAAGCAGTGGGAGATCTCCCGAGTCCTTGGGTCCCTGCACCCACATGGGAGAGCTGGATGGAGTTCCTGACTCCTGCCTTCCACCTGACCCAGCCCCAACCAATGTGGCCATTCGGAAAGTGAACCAGCTGATGGAAACTAGCTCTCCTCCTCCTCCTTCTCCTCCTCCTCCTCCTCCTCCTTTTATTCTCCTCCTTCTCCAACTCTGCCTTTCAAATAAATGAGGCAAAACTTGCAGAAAGAAAGAACAAGATGAAACATCTTTCCGTGAACACATGGTAAAGACAAGCCGACAGACCCAGAACCTCACGCGTGGTGTTGGGATCCGAAGTAATAGTAATAAAGACCCAGGTAATAACAGCATTTCCATTCTGAGGGTGGCCATGAAGTTTATTTTTAAAGATTTGTTTATTTATTTGAAAGGTGGAGTTAGAGAGAGGCAGAGAGAGAGAGAGAGTCTTCCATCTGCTGGTTCACTCCCCAAATGGCCATAACAGCCGGAGTTGGGCTGATCCGAAGCCAGGAGGCAGGAGCTTCTTCCAGGTCTCCCACACAGGTGCAGGGTCCCAAGGACTTGGGCTATCTTCGACTGCTTTCCCAGGCCACAGCAGAGAGATGGATAGGAAGTGGAGCAGCCGGGACTCAAACAGACACCCATTGTGGGATGCTGGCACTGCAGAGGATGGCCTCACCCACTGTGCCATAGTGCTGGCCCCAGCCATAGGCTTAGATGGGCAAATGTGTATCGATGATGGAGCTGGAGCAGGGGACCATGGATGCCCTCATGAGCGCTGTTCGCTGGTGTCCTTCTTGTCATCATCACTCCCACAGAGAAGTCTGGAATGGGTCAACTTGGCAAGGCATGCCTCTCACCTGAGTCGCCTTGGGCTCCTAGGAGGCTGCAGGGAAAGGGAAATACAGTGGGACCACGGCCAAAGCTGAGTCAGAGGAACCGGGGGAGATGAGAGCAGAGGTACATGCGTGTGTGCGTGCGCACGCTGCAGACAGAAAGGAGGCCAGGGCAAGGGGCCCCGCGGAGCAGGGGAGCAGCCACCTTCCGGTGACGTCATGCAGTGCAGTGCCTTTGTCTCCCAGAACCGGAAGCCTAGCCTCAGGGATTCCTCATGCTCACACATCCGGTGTCAGCACTGCCAAGGTCCCCACCCCCTGACTCTGGGATGGGCCCTCCTTCTCCCAGGCACGCTCTGAGTCACAGCTAAGGACCTGGAAGAGCCATGTTCCTGGTGATGGCAAGCCCAGGATGGCACTTACACTGCCACTGCCCCCCCACCCCCACTGACTGTACCCAAGCCTGGGCCCCTGCACCTGCTTCTACCCGAGAGAGAGAGAGAGAGAGAGAGAGAGAGAGAGAGAGAGAGGTCTTCCATCCACTGGTTCACTCCCCAATTGGCCGCAACGGCTGGAGCTGCACTGATCCTAAGTCAGGAGCTGGGAACTTCTTCTGGGTCTCCCACACAGGTACAGGGGCCCAAGAACCTGGGCCATCTTCCACTACTTTCCCAGGCTATAGCCGAGAGCTGGATGGGAAGTGCAGCAGCCAGGACTCCAACTGGCACCCATATGGGATGCTGGCACTGCAGGTGGTGGCTTTACCTGCTATGCCACAGCACCGGCCCCAGGGTCAATGTTGTTTCCCATGGGCTTGGTCAGTGATAAGTTCTGTGATCTATTCCCGTGGCATAGAAATCCCTCAAATGATCAACAGCCAAGTCCATGGGTATCATGCTGTGGGGCTCTGATGGGTACACAGGGGCTTCGTGGGAAATGGTATTAAGGATACACACTGATAGGGGCTGGTGCTGTGGCATAGCTGGTTAAACTGCTGCCTGCAGTGCCCACATCCCATATAGGTGCAGTTCGAGACCTGGCTGCTCCACTTCCAATCCAGCTCTCTGCTAATGCACCTGGGAAAGCAGCAGAAGATGGTGGTCCCTGCACCCACATGGGAGACCCGGAAGAAGCTCCTGGCTTTAGCTGGGCTTTGTAACTCTGTCTTGCAAATAAATCTTTTTTAAAAACATATGCTTGGGCAGGCGCTGCGGCTCACTAGGCTAATCCTCCGCCTAGTGGCGCCGGCACACCGGGTTCTAGTCCCAGTCGGGGAGCCGGATTCTGTCCCTGTTGCCCCTCTTCCAGGCCAGCTCTCTGTTGTGGCCTGGGAGTACAGTGGAGGATGGCCGAAGTCCTTGGGTCCTGCACCCACATGGGAGACCAGGAGGAAGCACCTGGCTCCTTGCTTCAGATCGGCACAGCACACCGGCCGTAGAGGCCATTTGGGGGGTGAACCAACAGAAGGAAGACCTTTCTCTCTGTCTCTCTCTCTCACTGTTTAACTCTGCCTGTCAAAAAATAAAAAAGTATGCTTGTTTTGATGCAATACATGTATAGTTTTCTTTTTTTAAAAGATTTATTTTATTTATTTATTTATTTGAAAGTCAGAGTTACACAGAGAGAGGAGAGGCAGAGAGAGAGAGAGAGAAAGTCTTCCATCTGCTGGTTCACTCCGAAGATGGCCACAACTGCCAGAGCTGAGCCAATCTGAAGCCAGGAGCCAGGAGCTTCTTCCAGGTCTTCCACATGGTTGCAGGGGCCCAAAGACTTGGGCCATCTTCCACTGCTTTCCCAGGCCATAGCAGAGAGCTGGATGGGAAATGGAGCAGCTGGGTCTTCAACCAGTGTTCATATGGGATGCCGGTGCTTTAGGCCAGGGTGTTAACCCGCTGTGCCACAGCGCCGGCCCCACGCATAGTTTTTTGTAAGACACATTTTCCATGATCTGTTGGCAAACACCCAGTACCTCCACGCTTCTTCCATTCAAAGGCTCTGCTGTCCATTGCAGCTGCCCCCGGAGGCTGTGAGCCACGTGGATTTTGTCACCTGTCTGGGTGCCGGGTCCGCAGGAAGCCCGCCAAGAATGGTTCTCTTTTACCCTGGATGAAACTGTTGGGTCATTTCCCTGGTCCAGGCTGAAGGCAGCAGCCAGGACCTCCATCAGGGTCCATGTAAGTGGTAGGAGCCCAAACTCTTGGGCCATCCTCTGCTGCTTTCCCAGGCCCATTAGCAGGGAGCAGGATTGCAGGTGGAGCAGCTGGGACTCAAACCAGTGCCCATAAGGCATGCCTGCATCACGGGCGGTGGCTTTACGCACTATGCTGCAGTGCTGGCCCCTGCCTTCTGCACTTTTTTTCACCACTGTACTGGAGGCTCTAGCCAGCTGGAAAGGCAAGAAGCAGAAATGAAGGTGGGGCCAGGCATTGTGGCACAGCAGGCTAAGCCACTGCTTGGGGTATCCGCCGCTGCTTCAACCCAGCCCCCAGCTAATGAACCCAGGAGACAGCCGAGGAGGGCTCAAGTCCTTGGGTTCCTGCCACCTAAGGCGAAACCAGGGTGGAGGTCCTAGCTTTTTGGCCTCGCCCTGCTGTTTCAGGCATTAGGGCAGCAGAGCAGTGGATGGAAGAGCTCTCTCCCTCCATTTCTCTCTCTCTCTCTCTCTCATACAGATGGGTGAGGAAGAAATGCACTCATTTTTATTTGCAGATGATGAGATTTTGTACATAGAAAATACAGGTGTCGGCGCTGTATTAGGTCAGGCTGCATAGTAGCCTGAGCTTACACCTGCAGCACTGGCATCCATGTGGGTGCCAATTCAAGTCCCAGCTGCTCCACGTCTGATCCAGCTCTCTGCTGTGGCCTGGGAAAGCAGTAGAGGATGGCCCAAGTCCTTGGGCCCCTGCACCCACGTGGGAGACCCAGAAGAAGCTCCTGGCTCCTGGCTTTGGATTGCCTCAGCTCTGGCGGTTGTGGCCATCTGGGTAGTGAACCAGCGGATGGAAGACTCTCTCTCTCTCTCTCTCTCTTTTTTTTTTTTTTTTTGACAGGCAGAGTGGACAGTGAGAGAGAGAGACAGAGAGAAAGGTCTTCCTTTGCCATTGGTTCACCCTCCAATGGCCGCCGCTGCAGCCGGCGCACCGCGCTGATCCGATGGCAGGAGCCAGGATCCAGGTACTTTTTCCTGGTCTCCCATGGGGTGCAGGGCCCAAGCACCTGGGCCATCCTCCACTGCACTCCCTGGCCATAGCAGAGAGCTGGCCTGGAAGAGGGGCAACCGGGACAGAATCCGGCGCCCCGACCGGGACTAGAACCCGGTGTGCCGGCGCCGCAAGGTGGAGGATTAGCCTACTGAGCCACGGCGCCGGCCATCTGTCTCTTTCTCTCTCGGCTTCTTTGTAGCTCTGCCTTTCAAATAAATAAATCTTTAAAAAAAAAAAAAAAGACAGACACAGGTGAAGATGCTCTCATCCCACATCGGAGCTGGGTTCAAGCCCTGGTTCTGGAGCCTGACTCCAGCTTCCTGCCAGTGTAGACTGGAGGTTCAACTCACTGATGTCCTGCCACCTTCCTGGGAAACATGGATGGAGTTCCTCGCTCCTGGTTTCCTTTGGCTCAGCCCAGCCCTTGTCGTTGCAGGTATTTGGGGAGTGACCAGAAGATGAGAGTTCTGTCTCTCCCCTCCCCTCCTCCCCACCCCTCCACCTCCCCTCCCCTCTCCCCTCTCCCCTCTCTTTCTGTCTTCCTTCCCCTCTCCCCTCCCCACCCCTCCACCTCCCTCCCCTCTCCCCTCTTCACCCCTCCACCTCCCCTCCCCTCTCCCCTCTCCCCTCCTCACCCCTCCACCTCCCCTCCCCTCTCCCCTCTCCTTCTCTCTCCCCTCCCCTCTCCTCCCTTCCTCTCCTGGAACTTGGAGAGGAACCTGGGGCCCCAGAGAAATCATTTGGGGAGTTGCTGACTTAGTGTTGGAAATGGGGCTTTTGGGAGAGGTGAGAACTTCCTCCAGGAATGGGAAAATGGAGGATACAGGCCAGGGCAGCTTCTTGAGTCTGGAATGGGGGATAGACAGGAACAGGGAGGGGCCCAAGGTGGGGACACTCAGGCCTGGGCTGAGGGTGAACGGACGTGGAGGAGGAGCTGTCCCCGGGCCAGGGGGGGGGGCAGATCAGTGACATGCTGCTGAGAGCAGCCACAGTGATCTCAAGGCCAAACCATCGCCTCCAGCTCTATAAAGACAGAGCCATGAGGCCAAGTTCCCATCACCAGCGAGTCCCTGCCCCCTCCCGTGATCCTACCCTGTGCCCATCAGGCTCCGCGCTCAGGCACATGGACATCCAGCTCCCACTGGTGAGCTTGGGTCGCCCTGTGATGACTTGCATGTGCACCTGCCTCTCCCGATGCCCTTCCAGGTGGGCCGAGAGGCTGCAGGTGCTCTGGCCAGGTAGACCTGAGGCTCTCTGCCCTGCTGTGTTGCCCAACCCCAGGCAAGGACGGGCCAGGACTCCCGTGGGCAGATGTCTCTCTTCGCTCCTCACTGCCTCTCTGGTGCTCAGACCCAGGTGTCACTCGGTGTGCCCTCCACGGGACCCCTGTAGAACCAAGCTTGAGTGGTTTCTTCCATGGGCAGATTCTGGAGCAGCTGAGACTGGGAGAGAACAAGAGGGAAGACATGTTTGACGTTGACAGAAAGAAAAAAGAACCTGAGGCTTGATTGTAAAATGTGCAGGCACAGAACAGACTGCCTCTTTGACCCAGAAGAACTGAATTATTTCCAAATTATTCTGAAACCTCTTTGAAATTAACTCATGGAGTACCTGGGCTTGATTCCTGCCTCCAGGCCCCTGCTAAGGCACACCCCTGGCAGGCACCGGGGAACGGCTCAAACACTAGTGCACCTGCCACCCTTGTGGGAGACCTGCATGGAGTGCCCGGCTCCCGCTTCGGCCTGGCCCAACCCCAGCCATAGTGAGCATTTGGGAGAGTGAACCAGCAGATGGGACCTCTGTCTCTCTGCCTCTCAAGTAAATATTTTCCAATGATATTTTTCAGAAGAATGATAACACGCTGTGTCCGTTAAAAGTCTTGGGATGGGGCCGGCGCCCGCGGCTCAGTAGGCTAATCCTCCTCCTTGCGGCGCCGGCACACCGGGTTCTAGTCCCAGTCGGGGCACCGGATTCTGTCCCGGTTGCTCCTCTTCCAGGCCAGCTCTCTGCTGTGGCTCAGGGAGTGCAGTGGAGGATGGCCCAAGTGCTTGGGCTCTGCACCCACATGGGAGACCAGGAGAAGCACCTGGCTCCTGCCATCAGATCAGCGCGGTGCGCCAGCCGCAGCATGCCTGCCATGGCGGCCATTGGAGGGTGAACCAATGGCAAAGGAAGACCTTTCTCTCTGTCTCTCTCTCTCACTGTCCACTCTGCCTGTCCAAAAAAAAAAAAAAAAAAAGTCTCGGGATGGATGGGAAAGGGAGGATCCCTATTTTCCTTGGCCTACGATGAGCCAATCTCCTCGTTTCAAAGTCACCTGATATTTTTGGTCCTCAGTACCTTTTGTGACTTCCTCTGAATAAGAGGAAGTCCGGCTGCCAGTCTGTTTAATGTACTTTAAACAAGTCAAAGCACAGATTTCTGTTCCTGCCTGCACGGTACATGGCTGCAGGCAGCTTCAAAGGGCAGGCTGACTGTGCTGTGGTTATGATATTGTAAACACTTCAAAGCCCCACATTGTATAGAAGCGAGGGGGACCAGCCTCTCGATATCATTGCTGTGTGACCTTCCGATGTTCCTGTGCTAGCGAAGATTAAATTTAGCTATCCGCAGACTATATATTTATGTAAAGACTCGGTTTATTTATCCTGTTTGCTCCAAGCAGGGCTTCTTAGCTCGCCCTCTGAAATGGTTATCCCTAGCGGCAGGTGTCTTGGTTCCTTGGCTTAAATCGGCAGATTATTAAGGGCCCCGGGCGGGGGAAGTCTGTGGGGTCGGGGGGGGGAGCTCGGTGCTCTGGCACTGGGGTTGGGGCTAAGGAAGCCCCAGCTCAGTCAGCAGGGTCTCTCCTGCAGAGAACTGCGTTCCTGGGGCTGCGGTGGGGTGGTGGAGCCGGGATGGGGTATTCCAAGGGTTTCAGGGCACAAACCTGGATTCTCAAAGCAAGAGAATTATTTTCCCCAGCTGCTCCACTTGGGACCCAGCTCCCTGCTGATGCACCTGGGAAAGCAGTAGAAGATGCCCAAGTGCTTGGGCCCCTGCACCCACGTGGGAGACCTGGAAGAAGCTCCTGGCTCCTGGCTTCGGCCTGGAGCAGCCCCAGCTCCTGCGGCCACTCGGGGAGTGAACCAGTGGTTGGAAAATCTCTCTCCCTCTACCTGGGAACATGTGATCTGATATGGGATGCCGGCATCACAGGCGGCAGCTTAACCTTCTGGGCTACGATACTGTCTCCTGCCTTCTACCATGGAATGGTTCTGTCCCGAGGGGCGGCAGACTCAAAGCAGCTAACCTGGCTGGTGTGAGAGAGCTGGGGCAGGAAGACTAGACCCTATTATGCACAGGGGCCTGGGGCACTGGGGCCAGGGCCTGGGGAGCAGCACACGTACCTGAGGAGAAGCCCACCCAGCCAGCACCACCGCCTGGTGAGTCCGTCGCCCGCCCACAGCCCTTGGAAGTGTAATCAGCCAGCCTGGGAGGCACCTGCCTCTCAGGAGCATGAGGGGCGTGGCCGTCTGACCGGAAGTGAGTAGGGGAGAGCTCTGCCCCGCCCCCTCCCAGGCCACACCTGCAGGCTCCGAGTTCTGATGCGGACTGGTCGGCCAGGGGTTGGCGGTCCCCACTCCCCGAAGGCTCTGCGCGCAGGAAGTGGGTCAGGAGGCTTTGGCGGGTACCCGAGGGGCTGTGTAATCTCTTGCCGGCCTTGGCCCGGTGGCTGTGAGAACTCTGCCTGTTTTCGCTTCTTTGGAAGTGCTGATAAGAACAGAATCCAACAAAGGCCAAGCCGCCAAGCCCCGTGTTTCCTGGTTTAGGAAGTGAAAAAAGAAATGTGACTTTGGAAGTGCTGGGAACACTGCTCTGCCCCCACCCCAGGTACTTAACCTCCACCTCCTCCTCCCCCTCCTCCCCCTTCCCCCATATTCCTCTTATTCTCTTTTATTTTGAGAGAGACCCAGAGAATTCCCATCCACTGATTCACTCCCCAAATACCTGCAACAACCAATGCTGGGCTAGGCAGAGCCAGGAGCCAGAAACTCAATCCAGGTCTCCCATAGGGTGGCAGGGACCTGAGTCCTTGGGCCATCACCTGTTACACCCTGGCAAGGTGCATTAGCAAGGAGTGATCCAGCTCTCTGCTAATGGCCTGGGGAAGCAGCGGAAGATGGCTCAGACCTTGGGCCCCTGCATCCACATAGGAGACCCAGAAGAAGCTCCTGGCTCCTGGCTTCCACCTGGCCCAGCCGCAGCCATTGCAGCCATTTGGGGAGTGAACCAGCGGATGGAAGACCTCTCTCTCTGTTTCTCCCTCTCTGTGTCTGTAACTCTGCCTCTCAAATAAATAAATAAATCTTTTAAAAGAAAAAAAAAAAACACTTGTGGTGAGATACACATCACGTGACATTTGCCGCTGTCACCAATTTGCATGTACATGTCAGGGCACGGGCAGTCATCAGCACCATCCAATTCCGGAAGTTTCCACCACGCATACCTGCAGCTCTGTGTCCATTAATCACCACGCCCCATTCCCATGGTTTCTCAGGAGCCGAGAAGTGAGCTGCTTCCCCAGCTGCCATCTGTGCTGGGGCCAGGGGCCAGGGGCCAGGCTGGGTTCCTCCTGATGGGGGTGCCCGGGCCAGCAGTCTCCCATCACCCAACCCAGGATGGAGCCCCGTCTGAAGACAGCTATTTCTGTTCCAAAGGAAAGGGATCTTGGTGACATCACTGGTCTGCCTGGTCATCACAGCGGACGTGTATTGGTTTCCGGCTGTCTTGAAACTTTTTTGTCCTGTGCTGAGCCGGGAGATGCAGCAAGCAACTGGTCAACCTCACACAGGCCCTCGGCATGTGGCAGAGGTGAAGGGAGTGGCCCTCTGAGGCCAGGCACGGGGTGGGGGAGGCTGAGAGGCAGAGAGAAAGTGTTCCATCTGCTGGTTTATTCCCCACATGCCTGCAGGAACTGGATCCGGGCCAGGGAGCTCTTCCACGTAAGTGACAGGAACCCAACTTCTTGAGTCATCACGCTGCCTTCCCAGGAAGCTGGAGTCAGGAGGCAGAGCTGGGAGTTGAGGAACTGAGGTCAGGCACTCTGACGTGGGGGGTCTCGGCCAGCATCTTCACTCCTGGACCAAATGCCCCCACCCTCCACCCTCCCCTCTGCTCTCCTAGCACCCTTCATATAAGGCTTTGGAGGACAGAGTCTTCTCTAAGATTTTTATTTATTTATTTGAAAGTCAGAGTTACACAGAGAAGGAGAGGCAGAGAGAGAGAGAGAGAGAGAGAGGTCTTCTATGCACTGGTTCACCCCCCAATTGGCTGCAACGGCAGGAGCTGTGCTGATCTGAAGCCAGGAGCCAGGAGCTTCTTCCAGGTCTCCTATGTGGGTGCAGGGGCCCAAGCACTTGGGCCATTCTCCACTACTTTCCCAGGCCACAGCAGGGAGCTGGATCAGACGTGGAGCAGCCAGGACTGGAACCGGCGCCCATATAGGATGCCGGCACTGCAGGTGGTGGTTTTAGCACTACACCACAGTGCCGGCTCTAGGGGACAGAGTCTAACGCAGGGGCCTCTGGGACATTTTTCGCCATTCAAAGATTGCAGCCCTAGCACCTGGTCCATGCCGATGGCGGAGAGGCAGAAGACAGGCACAGAGCCAGGTGCAGGGAGCAGGCAGCCAGCCCCAAGCCAGCACAGCAGGAGGGCCGCCTTGAGGCTTGGGGTTCAGGCTCAAGATACCCCGGCCTGGGTGTGTCCCTCAGCCAGGTCACCAGGGCAGGGAGCGGGTCTGCATCTGTGTCCTCATGGATTCCAGGGATTGCGGCTTCGAGTGACTCGCCTCTTCCCACTCCTGCATTCAATCCCTAGAGCACCTGTTCTCGGGGGGGAAGCCGCACAGGCTGCTGTGGATCTGGGGGAACGTCCAAAGCCAGAGCCGCCACTGCCCTGAGCAACGCCGCTGCTAGAGGGGCGCTGTGGTGTGAACTCTGACCTCTGACCCCGCTTGCTCTGTGCTACTCCACTCTGCTTTTTTTTTTTTTTGCTGCTGATGGCAGCAGGAGTTCACATACTGCCCTCCAATGACCCCTGGGTATGTGGGGGTGGCAGAGAAAGAGGTGGTGAGGGCAGGCAGGGGCCACCTCCACCATGGGCACGGAGCGGGTATGGATCCCACCTGCCTGAACTCTGGTGCCTGGAGCTCAGACTGGTCATCACGTTGTTCCTTGGTTATAGGGGCTGGGCGGGGGGGGGGGGGGGGGAGCGGGTGTGGATTTCACGGCCCATGAAAAGGATGTGAAATTCCAGTTGCGGACGCTCATTAAAAGGGCTTTATGGGAAGAGTTGCGCCGCGTGTTTCCTTAGCGTATGGGATCGCTTTTGCAGAGTTCAGCGGTTATGAGACAGAGAGAGACGGGGAAGCCCACAGAGGGCGACCTGTTTACCACCCAGGCCCTTTCCAGAAGCCACTGCTGAGCCCATCCTGGGCTGCCCCTTCTGCTCCTGCAGCTGCTGGCCTGAGGCTTCTTAGATACATCTTTCAGGTACAGATTTATTTACTTATTCAAAAAGCAGAGAGAGAGAGAGAGAGATCTTTCATATTCTGGTTCACTCTCCAAATGACTACAACAGCCAGCTCGTGGCAGGCTGAGGCCAGGAGCCAGGAGCTTCTTCCGGGTCTCCCATGTGAGTGCAGGGGCCCAAGCACTTGGGTCATCTTCAGTTGCTTTCCCAGGTGCATTAACAGGGAGCTGGATCAGAAGCGGAGCAGCCAGGACCCAAACAAGCACCCACTGGGATGCTGGCATCAGAGGCTATGTCTTAACCCATTTTGCCATAATGTCAGCCCCATTTTTTCTTTCAACATATGAAATAAGAATATATTTTCATTTATGTAGTACGAGACGGTGGAAGCACTACTTACCCCAATACACCCGATGATATGACTTCCACACGGGTTTCACCCTCTCTCGCTGGATCAGCTACCACAGATGAGAGACAACATGGGGTACCTGTCCTCCAGGGGCCAGCTTATTTCAATTGGCCT